AAGAACCAGGATCTTGAGTGTGTAGATTATTTGTATCTTCTACCTAGTGTTTTAGGTATGTTATATACTGAATCTTGACACTTCCTTATCCTATTCTCTATCATTTTTATTGAGAAAAAGCAGATATCTTTAAGCAACGGTATAATTCATTGATATAGCTCATGTAAGGTGATGATGACAGCATCTTTCCCATAGTAAGATCTAGGAGCTATCAGGCTATGTCCTCTGCTGAGACTTTTCTCCCCACAGTTTCCCACACATGATATCTCACATGCAAGTAAGGTTCATTACTGTAGTGTGATACCTGCATCCCCAAATAGGGTGGAGACACGTTCCCCTGGAGTTATAGCTACATCTTTCCCCCCCTCCCCTGGGAATTGTCCTGGCAGAAGACAGCTTCTTTCCCTAAGCTTATATCTCCTTTTTGGAAACAGCCTTATTCCCAGAACTTGTTGATGTGGAGGATAGGAAGAATCATCTCTTTGTCTTAATTAGGGACCTTTGTGAAGGGCCATTCCAACTTTACAATTCTTAAGTCTAGTGCTACTTGTGGTTCCAATTGTGTTACTGATCGGTACTGTTTAACTTCTCTCTTTGTCCAGTCAGTCTTCTTTCGACCTAGTACTACTTCCCAAGAATCCTCCTACATGAAGATTTCTGTCTAGATTTTTTCTATAACCTGAATTATGAGAGTCATCTACTATTTGGATAGCCTTTCTCTGGGATTTTTGCATCTTTAAACTAATTATATTCAGGATAGATATTGATTTTTATGACATCTTCAGATTTTGTTGAATGAACCTAGGGCCTTGTGTATTTTAGGCAAGTGTTTTACTACTGAGCTATAAACCTCTAGCCAAATATTAAAACTGGTATTCTATGTATCTTTTATAGTAAGCACCATACACAGAGAATTAAAATTTGTTACATTATAAAGTGCTACGTAATAGATTTTTAAATTCTATTAGATTGGAATTTGAGGAGGCTTGTACATGCCATATTAAGAAACTTTACTGTTAGACTCTTTGTTCTTCTAGGTGATTTTTGAGGAAATTCTCAAAACTAGACTGAAAGTTCTTATTTTGCATATTTTAGGGCTCACTATTTGAGAGTCAAGACATTCTATACCCAAAACTTGTTTAAAATATGTCAATTCATTTTTGTTCGATATTTAGAAAACTTTTAATCTTTATATTAAGTTGTTTATGATGTCTGTAAACCCAATTTAGTTAGTAGTAATATATAATCTATAATTAGTTGTGATTGTCCCAGTCTCTTGGCTGCATTGGAGAGGAAAATTGCTTTTATGTAACCATTAATAACCACCAAGTTAATTTTTAGTTTTGAAAATAGCTGTAAGAGAAGTAAGCGTATATAATAATTGGGTAGTACATTTGATTTAGTTTCTAAGGTTAAGCTTTTAAATTGGCCAATCTAAGGTTCAAACAAATAGTGGAGTTACAATTTTGGAACCTTTAAGGGCTTTACATTCTTGCTGTGTCTTTGTAGTTTATCAGTGGAATTGAAACAAGAGAAATTGTCTTGATTCCTTTGGGAACTATGAATGAGAAACATGTTGAGATTATGGAGAGACTGTTGATTGAGACCTTGGAAATGTAAATTTTAGTTGCAACTTTATTGTTAGATACCATAGTGATATCAGGCAAGCAAGTTATTCTTGCTAGGGCTTAGATTTTCAATTATGAAGTAATGCAACTCTTTTTTTTTTTCTTTTTTTTTTTGCTTATGTGGTGCTGAGAAATCGAACCCAGGGCCTCGAGCATGCAAGGCAAGCGCTCTACCACTGAGCCACCTTCCCAGCCCCAGTAATGCAACTCTTAATGGATGATTTTGAGTGCCTTCTGTCTTTCAGATTTTGAATTTAGACCTCTTTATTTGGAGAACTTACAGTCATGTGTCTATTATTTGTAGTTGATTTACCACAAAATCAGGTACTGATTTAAACATTTTCCTTTTATTATTATTTAACCTACATATTACTTTAGTGAAGCTATTATTTGTACCACTTTACAAAGGGAAATTTCATACTTAAGAAAGTTAAATTTAGGAAGCTTCTAAATGGCTAATTATAAGTTGGATAAGCTGAGTCACTATATCTAGATTTAGTTGGACCTTTGTTTTTGGAGCATTTACTTGCTCTTAAGAAAACACATCCAGTTGCAGTTAGATGGATATATGCTTCTGACTCTTCTTCTGTCTAGTATTGTGTGCTTATAGGTTTAGGCAGGAAGGACTTAGAGGTAGATAAGTGTTATGTGTTGTTACATGAGAGAAATTTTGTTGGAGAAGTAGAAGTTGAGTCCAATACAACAGGGTGGATAAACAGCCTCTTAGGCTGTCTTCAAGAGGCAAATTGAATAGGTTTGCATTCAATTTAGCATAAACAATATTGCAATATAGCTCCATATTTGCTTGCTTAAAGTTGTAAATGTTGAGATTCAGTTGAGAAAATAGAAATTATATTCAACTGAAAGTTGTAAATATTGAGATAAAATTCAGAAAATAGAAATTGTATTCAATGGAAAGCTGATCTAAATACATTAGGGCTAAATGTAGTATATTTTGAAAGATACTTTCTGTTGCACATATTTTATGATGGATTGAAAAGCATCTGTGAAGTTACATAGAGAGTTCTATGATACCATAATTTTTCTAGATAAGGTCATATTGCAAAACCCTGATTAAGCTTTCTGATTAAGGATTTGATATTGATTGGGATATATTCAGTTTTAAGAAATTCAAGAAATTAGAAGGACCTGAAGACAATAAAAAGATTAGCAATGAATTATGAAGAAAGCTTAAAGTTAGGGTTATAATGCCCAATTGGAATGAGAAGCGTTTTCTCAAGGGTGAAAATTTAAAGCAAAAGAAAAAGGACTTAAAAGAAATTTTGTATGAAGTTTTGTGCTAAGAGTTTGGAATTAGGTTTAGGAGTACAAGAGGTACGAAATGAAAAGAAAATCTTTTCCCCAGTAATCATTGTTAATGTTTTTCTAGGTATTCTTTCATAAATTTGTTGCTGTCCATTAAGATGATCATGCTCTTTATATGAGTTTCTTTTTTTCCCTTGTAATAGTTTTCAAATCTTTCAGCATCAGCATGGTCAGAACTAGTTTTACTTTTAATAACTATTATATTCATATGTAAATTATTGAAATTTATTTAACTAATCCCCCATTGAAGATCATGCTGTAAATGACATGCTTGCAACAATTTGGGGTATGTAAGTTTTTTATACTCCCATTAATATTTGGGAGTCCTATATTCTAACACTTTTTGACTATAAATATTATCAAAGAATAAAAACATTTTGATTTTAATTTAATGCCTTCTAACCAGGTTGGTACTTTTTTTTTAGACTTCTAGTTTTTTTCTCATTAATAGGAGGGAGAATTTTTATTGAAAGCCTTTTCCTGCTGTGAAACAGGTGTCTTCTGGGACTAGAATCAGAATGTTTGATGGACAGTGAAGGTTCAGAAAGGCCTAGCTCAATGGTGCCATTACCCTCTGTCAGGCTTTCTAACTTCTCTTTAGGAGAGGATGCTACAGGTGTGATTGAATTCCCTTGAAGCCGATTAGTTATTTTGCTTGAACACTGTAGCCATTTCTGCCTTTCTTCAATAGCTCTATCACAGTTAGTGTAGCCTCAGAGCCCCTTTTCAAATCCAATCTGGTTCTTTCTCCTTTTTCACAGAAGGCCTTAAGAATCGTACCTTTCTTTCTTCTCTGTATTGCCATCAACTATGCCATCATTTAGGTGATTTTCTCTTCTTAAAATGACCTGTGGAGTAGAAAGGGATCAGAGAGAGGAAAAGAAAATTTGTGTTACATGCCAACTAAGACCATTAAATAATAATGGCAATAGGATATGATGACAAAGCTTTTGGTCCTTGCCAAATATCAAAAGAGCAATAATCTTTGGTTACAATGATTAAAAATAAATGCAACCCCAGTCTGAGGTTGAATAGACAGTGAGCAAGCATATTTCCTTATAAAAGTACTTTGTATATAAGGTTGTAGTGGCTTCTGATAGTTACTATCTGGTAACCACGTATAATGACCTTTTTTGTTATCAGTCTCTGGTTCTAATTTCTTTCCTTCCTTCCTTCCTTCCTTCCTTCCTTCCTTCCTTCCTTCCTTCCTTCCTTCCTTCCTTCCTTCCTTCCTTCCTTCCTTCCTTCCTTCCTCTCCCCCTCCCTCCTCTCTCTCTCTCTCTCTCTCTCTCTCTCTCTAGAGCGCTAGCCTTAAGCTGAAGAGCTGAGGGACAGCACTCAGGCCCAGAGTTCAGGCCCCATGATCAGACTCCCCCCACCCCCCCCCCAAAAAAAGGAGTATGTTACTAAATGAGGCATTTACTATACTCCTTCCTAAGCACCAGATGGGGAACACATTTTCTATGCTAGTTCTAGGAAGTAGAATGTGGAATTAATCTGTCTTCCTCCCCGAAGAGCTCTCCACTGGTTAATTTCTTTTTTATTTTTTTATTTTATTTTATTTATTTTTATTTTTTGTGAACATACTGTATAGAAGGGTTACAATTACATGGGCAAGATAATGAGTACATTTCTTATCAAGCATTGCAGCCTCCTCCTTTGTTTACCCTTCACATCCCTTCCCAGCCTCCCCCTGCCCCCCCACCCAGTTAATTTCTTTTTTAAAAAAATACTAAAAAATGGATCCCCCACACATGACCCCCACCCCACCCCCCGAAAAAGTCTCTAAAATGTTCCAGATTACTGTCTAAAATGGAACCAGGGAGCAGCTTCAACAATTCAAAATTAGTCTGTTACAGTCATCACAAGCATGCCTTACTTTTAAACAAACAAAAAAGCTTTTTTTTAAACAACAAATAGTACTGATCACTTTCTGACAATACACAATTATCAAAATTAACTAGTACTTGGAAGGCGAAGTGGGGCATACCTACGGGCCTTGTCTCACATGAGTGCATGTGGGTAGGTGCAGGACATTTGTCATTATTGCAGAAACAAATTTTAATTTTTAATTTTAGTTTGATTTAAACATTGCTTTTAGTATGATGCCGACACCAGCTGTGCAGAAAGGGCTCTGAAGAGATGTTCAGCAGTACACACCTGCGGCTCTTCTTCGGTTCTGGAGGCTCCAAGGCAGCCAATATTGCTTCGTCAAACACATTCTTTAGGCCTTTCTGTATAAGTGCAGAACACTCCACATACTTGACAGCCTTCAGATCATGTGCCAACTTTTCAGCAGTCTCTGAAGTAATAGGCTTCTGTTTGTTCTTGGCAAGTTTCTCAGTAGTGGAAGGGTCATCTCTAAGATCAATTTGGGGCCCAACAAGCAGGAAAGGAGTCTTTGGACTGTGGTGAGTAATCTCAGGCACCCACTTTTCTTTCACATTTTCAAATGAAGACGTAGAAACCACTGAAAAACAAAATAGAAATATATCTGTTTGTGGATAACTCAGTGGTCGTAATCTGTCATAATCTTCTTGCCCTGCAATATCAAAAAGTCCAAGAGTATATGGCTCTCCACCAATCATAACTGTGACTGCATAGTTGTCAAAAACAGTTGGTACATATTCTGATGGAAACTTATTTGTTGTATTAGATATCAGGAGAAATGTTTTACCAACAGCACCATCGCCCACAACAACACATTTAATTGTCTGCATGGCAGAGATAGTTTTGTATTCACTTTAAATAATTCAAAGTTGATGATGACCTCAGCTTCTCTGCTGGGGCATTGGCAGCACTATGCAGGGTCTCCTAGCTTGCTGGACAGGGGCATGCACCTGACCTCAAAATAGTTATACTATTAATACCAAATTGAGTTTCTTTAAAAAATAGGGCTGGTGTATTATTACCTTAATAGTAAAGTGCTTGCTTGGCATGTCAAACTTTCCCCCAGCCTAAGAACAAAACAAAACCTCTAAACTTATTTCTGTGGGTGTACCTATCTATGGTGGTGTCCATCTGTAGTCTCAGAGACTTGGAATGCTGAGTTGGCAAAATCAGTTCATCCCATGAATTGGAGACCAGCCTGGGGAATATAATGAAATACTCTTCCTAGTAAATGCATAACATAAGATGTACAAAACTAAGTGATATTCATTGTATTCCATTATTATATAATCATCACATCCATTAATTCCTGTAACTTTTCCACCATCTCAAAGGGAAACTCTATGTCCTATAAATAATAACACTGTATTCTTCTCCTGCTCCTCAGATCTTGGTAACCACTATTCTACTTTATGCCTCTATGAATTTGATTATTCTTAGGTGTTAAAAGTGTAGTCAAGCAATAGTAATACTTTGTGTCTAGATCATTTCACTGAGCTTATGCTTTTAATTTTCATCTTTTTCACTTAATATTCTCTTGTGATTATATGCTATGTGTTTCTGTTCACCCATCTGTTGATGGACACTGGTTGTTTCTACTGTTTAGCTGTTGCAAATTGTGCTGCATTGAATTTTGGTGTGCAAATACCTGCTTGGTTTAGATTTTAATTGAGGTTTTTAAGAAGTAAGGATGTTATTAACTAAGCTAGAGAATATAATTTCCCCTCCCTGAGATGTATGGTAAAGAAGTGAGATATGAAAGAAGGGGTATTGGCTGTGATACATTTGATACCTTCTAGAAAATCCATTACTTGTTGTCTTAGGAAACAGTTCTGTTTTAGTTACTTTATGTTGTTGTGACAAAATAACTGGCATAAACAGCTTAAAAGAATCGAAGGTTTATTTTGGCTCAGGATTTAATAAATTCTAGCTTATACTTTTTGGATGCTTTGATTCTGGACCCATGGTGAAGCTAAACATAATGGTGACTAGAATATGTGGAGAAGGTTGTTCACCTACTAGTAAACAGGAAGTAGGGAAAGAGGGACTAGAGACAAGATATAACCTTCAAATGCACACCCTCAATGATCTGTATTTCAGACAGGCTTTCCACCTGAAGTTTCATGATTTCCAAAATAGTACCATCACCAAGCATTCAACACATGAGCCTGTGGAAGACATTCCATATTTAAAACATAACATTCTGTGCCTGTCCTCCAAAGTCTTATGGTTATCTCATAATGTAAAATTCATTTAGCCCATATATTAGGCCAAATGAAGACTGAAATCACAAGGCAAGCATTAAATAACATAGCTCCATGTCTGGAATTTGGGGGGAGGGACACACTATAGTGGCATGATATAAGCTCCAGGAGCTTATGCATTTCTGCCCCCACAGCCTGGCATCACTGTGGACTGGCATCACTCATTGCCCACAGTGTTCCTCAATAGACAGTCTGCATTTATTGTAAGGCTTCACCCTCACAGCTTCATCACTCTCTGTGGTATCCTACAGGGGATCTGACCCCCGTACACATAGCCTGGCCTCTCATGATTTCCTCTGGAATCTGAGTGGAAGCCTCCATGACCACACAACACCATATGCCTACAAGACCCACGTCAATCTGTTGCCAGTTTGAACAGTAACTGGCCCCCCTTGGACCATGGCTGCAGTGGCCTCTATGCTGTTAAGTGACTGAGCATGGTGAAGTGAATCCTTGAGAACCCATTTCTTACATTGCTCTGTTTGAGTATGTGCCATGGAGCTCTTTTCTCAAGGTAAAGTTTTTTTTCTTGTTTTATAAGTCAGGTTATGAGTAGAATGCTTCTTGGGCATTTTCACCTTCTTTCACTTTCCCCCTTATTCTCCTTCCATCCTTACCAAGTTCATTTTTTTTATCATAATTTATATTGAATACAATTACTGCATTTGCTTTTCCTTCTTCTGTCCATTCCTGTGCCCCTCCTTTGTCTACCATCCCCCCACCAAGGAAAACAAAACCAAACAAATTAAAACAACATAAAAACAAAAGCAACAACATAAAAATGTTGCCATTTTTGGGAGTTTGTTTGATAAATAGTGCTTTAGATGTTCAGAACTATTATGCATTTGGCTTTTCACCCTTCATATACCTTCCTTCAGTCAGCCCATTCATGTGTAAATACATAAAGCCCTGTATAAATTATCATGTTTAGTTTTATATTAGATCTAGCTTCCACATATGAGTTTGGCTTATATCACTTGACATGATTTATTCTATTTAGATCTGTCCATTCCCTGTAAATCATGTAATATTGTTCTTTCTGATGGATGAGTAAAATTCTATTATGTATATGTACCACAGTTTTTTGATCCACTCATCTATTGTAGGGCATCTTGGCAGTTTCTGTAACTTGGCTAATGTGAATAGCACAGCAATGAACATATCCTAACTTGTAATGTTCTAAGTAGATGTCTAAGAGTAGTATGGCTTGATTATAGGGCTATGTTTAACTTTTTTGAGGAATTTCCAAACTACCCTCCAGAATGGTTGTATTGGTTTATACTCCCACAAACGGAACAATAGGGTTCCTTTCCCCGCCATATTCCTGTCAACATTTGCTATTGGTTGAAATCTTATGTGGGCCAGTCTCACTAGGGTGAGATGGAATCTCAGTGTTTTGATTTGTATTTCTTTTAAAGCCAGGGATGTTCAGCATTTCTTCAAAGTTTTATTGGCCATTCCATTTTTACTTCTGAGAAGTCTCTAGTTCCTTTGTTCTTTTATTGATTCATTTATTCTTTTTTTGTGTGTGTGTTGTTGGTCTTGGGGCTTGAACTCTGGATCTGGGCGCTGTCCTTGAGCTCTTCAGCTCAAGGCAAGCACTCTACCACTTGAGCCACAGAGCCACTTCTGGTTTTCTGCTAGCTAATTGGAGTTAAGAGTCTCATGGACTTTCCTGCCTGGGCAGGCTTTGAGCCATGATACTCAGATCTCAGCCTCCTGAGTAGCTAGGATTACAGGCATGAGCCACCAGTGCCTAGAAAATTTATTCACTTTTTATGTGGGGGTTTCTTGAGCTCCTTGTATATTTTGGATATTTTGTTGATGTAATAACTGGTAAAAATTGTCTCCCAGTCTGTTGGCTGTCTTTCTAGTTGTGCAATTTGTCCTTTGCTGTGTGTTAATTTGATATAATTCCATCTGTCAAGTCTTTCTTCTATTTGCAGTGTCCCAGGGACTCTCTTTCAAAAAGTTCCTGCCTATTCCTATAAGTTGTAATGTTTCTCCCACTCTATCTTGTAGTTTCAGAATATTGAGGTCTTAATCTACTTTGAGTTGATACTTGTGCATAGTGACCAACAGATTTAATATCCAGTTTTTTCCATATGGACATCCAGTTTTCCCAACACTAATTATTGTTTATTTTTAATGTTTTTATAAAGGTGATATACAGAGGGGTTACAGTTACAAAGGTCAGGTGAAGAGTACATTTCTTTTTGGACAATGTCACCTCTACCCTCACTGCTAGCTTTTCCCTCCCATCCTTACCCATTTCAACACTAATTATTGAAGAGACGTTTTACCAACTTATAGTTTGGCTTCCATGTCTAATGTCAGATAACCGTAAATATATAGTTTTATCTCTGGGTTTTCTATTCTGTTCCATGGATCTTTAGGCCTGTTTTTGTGCCAGTAGTAAAGTAGTTCTGTAGTAAAGTTTGAGGTTTGGAATTGTGATACCTCTAGTATTGCTTTTTTGCCTAAAATTGCTTTGGCTTGTGGTCTTTTGTTGTTCATGTGAATTTTTGGATTGTTTTCTCTATCTCAGTGAAAAATGTCTTTGTGATTGTAAGGGGGATAGCACTGAATTTATAGATCACTTTTGGCAGTATGGCTATTTTCATGATATTACTTCTACCTATCCATGAACATGGGAGGTCTTTCCATTTCTGATGTCTTCTTTCAGATCATTATAGTTTCCACTGGAGATCTTTGGCTTCCTTGGTTAGACTTATTCCTAAGGGTTTTTATTTTGTTGTTATTTGTTTGTTTTGAAACTATTGCAAATGGGATTGTTTTTCAAGGTAAAGTTTTTTTTCTTTTTAATGAGTTAAACCTTTACAATTATTTGAGTGTCGCTAATTCCAACATCTAAGAAACTAAGGCATGAGTATTGCAAGTTTGAGACTAGCCTGGACTGCATAGTGATACCCTTTTTTAAAGAACTTGGTTATTTAATCCATTACTTTTAGATTCATCCTCAGAGTCATGGACAAAACGTAGACAAATGTTTTATTAGAACATAAAAATGGTCTCAAGTCTAGTTCCCAAGAGTCCTAATTTCTACCTGAAAGCTTATGAGCACAGTCTTTATTGTCTGTATTTCTGTCAGCATTTTAATCTTCTGAGCTCCAATCAGAATTGTCTGTTAAGCTGAGTTTACAGAGGTTAATATTGTTTTATATTGATTTTGTAGGTTTTTCTTTGTGGGTTGAATTGAACTCAAGGCTTTCTTTTTACTAGGCTGATGATGTAATGCTTGAATTACGCATCCAGCCTCTTTAATTATTTTTTGAATAGAGTTTTACATTTCTTTCTGAGCAGGTCTGGAATGTGACCCATCTCTATATTCTATGGTTGGGATGTCAACTCATGCCACTATGCCTTGCTTTTTATTGGTTGAGATGAAGTCTTGTTAATTTTTGTTCAGGTTGGCCTTGCACTGCAATCCCCTGATCTCTGTTTCCCAGCCAAGTAGCTAGAGTTACATGCCACACTGATTTTGTAGTTTTTCCTAACGTGATTCTATTTATATATTACCAACGATCTAGTGTATTTTGTATGTTGTGGGCATCTGTTACTTGCTTGAAAAAGTTTGTTTCCTAATTTCTACTATTGATGTGACATTGTGTTATA